CCAGTTTCAGTAAAACTAAAGCATGAGAGAAAAGACCTTGGTTTTTATATTTAATATACTATAAATTTCTTAATAATATATTTCATCAGTTTGTGGATATGTTTTTCTGGTGTGCTTCACTTTTTGCAGGAATGTTACACTGTTCTCATTTTTTTTTCTTTCTTTCTTTTTTTTTGAGTTGGAGTCTCACTCTGTTGCCCAGATTGGAGTGCAGTGGCCACTCCCGGCCACTGCAGCCTCAACCTGCTGGGCTCCGGCGATCTTTCCGCCTCAGCCTTCCAAGTAGCTGGAACTACAGGCACTCACTACCACGTCCGGCTAATTTTTTGATTTATTGTAGAGATGAGGTCTCGCCAAGTTGCCCAAGCGGGTCTCGAACCCGCGGGATAAGGCAATCCACTCATCTCAGCCTCCCAAGGCGCAGGATTATAGGCTGAGCCACCGAGCCCGGCTTTGTTCTCATTTTTCTTATAAAAACTTTGGGAATTAATTAGAATCCTTTCAGGTATTATGTTTTCAAATATCTTTTTCTGTTGTCTCTCATACTTACCTCTATTTCTGAGAGTCCAGTTTCTTTTCTCTGTTATTTGTGTTTGAGATGGCTTTTTCTGTACAGTACTACATTGATTGATTGATTGATTGATTGATTGATTGTTGTAGCTTCACTCTGTCACCCTCACATCCACCCTAGCGTCGACCTGCTGGGCTCAGGAGATCCTTCCGCTTCAGCCTTCCAAGTAGCCAGAATTGCAGGCACATACTGCCATGCCTGACTAATTTTTGATTTATTGTAGAGATGGGGTCTTGCCAAGTTGCCCGGGCTGGTCTTGAACCTGTGGGCTCAGTCAATCCACTTGCCTCGTCCTCCCAAAGTGCTGGGATTGCAGGCTGAGCCACTGAGCCCGACCTAGTACTGCTTTTAGATGGGGAAGGTTTTGGTAACTTAACTTCCCTAGCTTTGTGACTTTAGAACTTCTCTTTTGTTTTTATGAGGTATGCAGAAATACATTTAATGAGAACCTTTTCTCTTCTCCTTTTCTACTTTTATCTACACCCAGATTTCTTACACTCTGCACTATTGGTATTTAGGGCCAGATAATCTTTGCTGTGGGAGAGTTATCCTCTGTATTGTAGGCTATTTAGTGGCATTCTGGTCTCTACCTACGAGATGCCAGAGGCACCCTTACCCCCAGTCCTGTTATGATAACCCAACATGTTTCTAGACAGTCATATGCCCCCTGGGAGTCAGAATCATTTTAGACCTTTGCCCCTAATGACTTTTTACTGCCTCGTTTAGATTTCTCTTCCTGGTAGTTTCTGATTGGTATATTTCTTTGTCTTAGAAGGGAACTTCATTTAGTTTTGAGACCTCTGCTCTTTCTATGACCCCTTTGCATTTACCTATAAGTTGTAGCCTGTGAAGCTCCTTGCTAGTTTTGGCTGATATGTCACATCAAATTGGGACCCTTGGTTTGTGGGATGAGGGGGAGAAGGTAGAACCTATAGGCAGTCTAATTTCTGGGTGTTCTGATTCTAGCACTATCTAAAATCCCTTTCCTCTTACTGTTTCTTATACCATGTGGGTCTTACTGCCGTTGGTGTTTGGCCTCAGCTACTCATATATGAGATACCCAGTCAAGTAATTCTGCTTAATTTATTGGCCCTGTTTCACTTTGATCTCTTTGATTTAATCTCCTAGTTGCTCTGTCTTTTTTGTGAGGTGGGTATCCAAAATTAAAAAAAAATTATGTCTCTTTCCTGGCATGCCTCTGGCTTCTTAAAATGAGCATTCTAAATGTGATAAAAGAAAATGTTTTGCATGATGGGTGATACTTTTGCTTGGTCATGGACTATGAGGAAGACCTAGAGAGGGAGAGATTGAAAATACAAGAGTAAGATTGAAACACTAATGGAAGTGTTTGTTCCCTTAAGGTGACTAGAATGCTTGGATGCAAAATTATTGGTAGAGGTATTAGCTTTGAACAGGCAAAGAGGACCATTTGTCTGACAGGAAAGGTAAAGAGATGAGATTTTGTTCAGATATGTTAGTTTGTAGGTCTGTGATAAGAGACTGAGGAATGCCATATTTGGTATTCTTAATCTTCTTAGTAAACTTTAATTGACCCAACTTGCTAGGGTGAGAGAGGTACATTTAGAGAGCTTGAGGAAGGTGGTAAAGATTGTGGAATGGTACGGTGGTGAGTATACGCAGTATTCATCCAGAGACTTGGAGGTAATTGCTAAGTGATGGTAAGGACCAGCCTTAGGCTATTAAATTTGAAAGATTCCAGTTTTGTGATTTTAATTTTTTTTCCAGTTTTGTCTCTTAGCAACTTAGATGTAAAAGCAGAGAAGGTGGTTTTCATATTGACCTAAAATTATTAGGATTTTGCAGGACAGGTATTAGAACATGACAAGGGACTAATGTTGCTAAGGCATGATAAAAAAAAGTGATTCAGGGGATGTATTGTGGGGTATAGACTGCACAGAGAAGGAAATCACACCATTTAAGTGCTGATGGGTTGGGGGAAAAGAGGAGATTCAAGGGAATCTAGATGTCTTGCATTTCTAGAGCAGGGAAGAGGAGAGTAAGAAGTGAGAGTTGGACGGGAAATTGAAGCCATAATACTGTATTGGAATTTAAAATTTCAGAGCTAGAACATTTTAGTTTATTGTAAAGATCACATTATAGCTATGGGAGCGTACATTGCTAAAGAATATTGGAGTAAAAAAAGTACAGAAATGGAGTATGTTGTGGTATGCATCCCATTATAGATAAGGAGATGACCTATATGATTGTAAGGGTGGTGGCAAAAGTTGAGCTGGAGGGGAAAGTGTGAACCAGATCAGTGGATAAACAGGGTGGTTAGTAGATGGCAATGGTAAGTCAGGGTTCAGGGTTGTGTTATAAGGAGGGTGACTTTCTTTTTTTTTTTTTTTTTTTTG